GAAAGGGAGTAAAGCAGTGCTTTCGAAGAGAAGAGAGGAAGAGTTGTTTGTGAGAGAGAGTTATGAGGGATTCACAAATTTACTCCATGTATGGTTCTTCGTTATATTTTTCAAGATTTTGCCTTGATCCATTGGTGGTTCTAAGGAAACATTCTAAAGAACTAGCTCTTTGTTCTACATCATATAAAGGAGGGAGAAAAAGGATTATGGGTTCTCTGCCATCTCCTGGAGGGAGAAAAACTAGGAGGGTGAAAAAGAGTAAGGTTCTCTTCCATGTAGGGTTGATTTAAGAGATTTTGACAATTCTCTTTTTACAAGAGTCCTAGTAAACATTGGTTTCTCTCTTGGTACTAGAACTATATCATCGACATAGGACTAGGTACCCCTACCAAGTCCTTCTCATTTAGGTTCAACACCAATTGAAATCTCACTTTGACTCATTCTGCTCCTTGCATTAACTACTATGACCAAAAAGACCAATTTTATGACCCAACCTAGTCCTCCACCTTGAATAGCATCTCATGCAACTCCAACTATTATACCCAACTCGATCTATTTGGTTTCTCCACTACCTCCACCTATCTCTATAAGCCAGATTATGGTAATGATTTCTATACTTATGGCTCATTCATTCAAGACTCCTTGACATTCTCCTTTGGTACTATAAATAACTTCCACTATGACTATGGATATAGCTATAACAACAATTTTGGACTAGCATATGGGTTATTAGTCCTTGCTTATGTGTGTTAAACCGTCACTAAAAATAGTGATAAAAGTGAGATTGTGATCATTGGTAATGTGAAGCAACATTGGTTCAATATAATCTATAATGTGGGGAACTTTAAATTAGTATTGGGACCCATGGTTGTAGCTAGTGATGGATCAATTGAGTTGATTGGGTTAAATTCAGTGTATTGATGTAGCTAGAATGAATAGGTTTTCTCATGTTGGTTATAAAAATGGAGTCAATTAGGATAATAAATGTAGTCATGAAAAAATTTTTAGTTGTATCCAAAATTTATGAAATAATTAAATATCAAATGAAGGAAACATTATATGAGTTTATGAAAACCTTTAAGATGTGCTTAATTTCTTTTAATTAAGGAGTAATGATCACATAAATTGTTGGATGGTAGAATTTTGATTATCGGAGGAAAAAAAGTCTTTTTTCTTTACAGCAGAGCTTATACGTAGAAAGAATAAAGGCTGCTTGTTGTGATGATTTTTATTCATTATCAGACTATTGCAAAGTAAAATCATTAGATTTTTTTCTTCAACTTAACCCCTTAGGTTCTCATTTTTTATTTAATTTTCCTTTTTGTTCTAGTCTGTAAATGGAAACATTTAAGGCTTGTGAGTTTTGCCAACCTATTGGATCATACGACTTAACACCTTAAGCATTGATGCAACTAATAACATATTCCTTAAATATGGGAACATTTAGGTTAATTTAGGTAAACTTGCATACAAATCACTTATGCAACCATAGAATGTAAAACCTCTAGTTAATAGCCAAAGCTCCCAAAAAACAAATCAACGAGATTTACATAATGACCACCTAAGTTTTTTACATTTTTAAAATATTAAATAATTTTTTTCTAAATAATATGTCCCCACACGAAAATAATAATGACTCTGACGCTATCTACATACATCATGTGTGTGTATGTTTTTTTTTTTTTTGAAAACTATAGAAATTGCATTGAAATGGAACAAAAGCAAACTCTTTACAAATGCTATAATGATAACATTCCTCCTTGATTAACTCAAGAAAAGAAGAAGGAATATTATCAAAAGAAAAACTATCAAAAGTAAAACTACTATCTAGTTCCAAAGTGGCACAAAAATCTACCACTCGGTTACATTCTCTATTAACATGATGAAAAAAAACTTTATTGAAATACTTAAGGAAGAGAAGCTCCTTTATTGGACAATTCTCCATTTGTCACTCCACCTTCTTCAAAGAATTTTGAATGTGTTTAATCACATTGATGTTATCACTTTCAATTATAATACCTTTGCTTTCCAACATCCAACTTTGGATGAATTATGTTATTGAAAAAATGGCTTCTAGCTCAACTTGAGCAATATCCCAATGAAAAGTATTCTTACAGAAAACAACAAGAATTCTACATATGCAATCTCTAAAAATCCCACCAATGCCGGCTCTATAAGAAGGAATCCAAGAAGCATCCACATTAATTTTAATCCAATCTAGCGGTGGAGGGTGCAAAGTTATAAAAGGCTCCCGAGAGAGATTAGCACCGCAGCTATCTAGGTACAGATTAGACTTAAATGTGGAGAGAGAAATGACATTAGACGCCACCAAGCTACTGGAAATTGCAGCTCTACCATGCTTCACCAAGTTACGGTTTTTCCAAGACAGAAAAACAACTGTGCAGTAAAGTCTCACCATGCTCTTATTCTTTGCCAAACTCCACTTAATCTTCTCTAAGCATTCATCCAGGGAATGAAACTTGGGAATAGAAAATCCCCATCCTTGAATACCAGTAATAACCTCATTAAGGTATTTGCAATGGACCACAATATGTTCATAATTCTCCACCTTTTGACACCTTCTAGCACAATAGTCGTCAACAGCAATTCTTCTATACTTGAGGAAATTATTGGAAGGAATAGAAAATTTACTTAATCTCCACCAAAACAATTCCACCCTGCTATTAAGCTTGATATTCTTTAACAAAACCAAAAATCTCCATCATCATTCATATCTTTGTTATTAAGAACAAAATCATAAGCCAAGCCTGATAAGGATTTACGCGACATCTTGCTGATAGTTTCCAGCATATTCTTCTTTTCCAGTGAATCAATTTCAACTTGCTTAATAAGAAATATCAAATCTTCATGAAAGAACATCTTAAGTTTCACCTCATCCCAATTACCTTCTACAGTGATCAGCGGCTTCATCATCATATCTTCCAAGGATCTACAATCCAGAAAAGTCGGCCAGGCATTTAAATTTCTATCTAACAGCCAAGTATCACCAAGAACATGGATATGCTCTCCACTTCCCACCTTCCATCTCACAATATTCTTAAGTTGCATTCCACCATCTATCAGTATTTGTAAAGCACTGGATGCATTTGGTTTACAAATTCCATCCATTACCACATCACCATACTTGGTTGTAACAGTTCAGTGAAGAAGAGTATTTGGGTTCCAAATCCAGTCCAAGCCAATCTAGCCCGCAAGGTACCAATTTTGATAGCTAAGGATTGCACTCCCAAACCACCTGCACTTCTTGGCTTACAAATCTCACTCCACGGCACATAATGTAATCCCCTCTTCCCATCCGTTTTGTTCAAAATAAAATTTCTGCACATCTTTTCCATATCATATACAATTTTCTTGGGCACAATAGAATGAGTGAGTAGAAAGTTTGGCATCAACAGTAAATAAGTCTTCAAAAAAGTAATTCTACCACCCAAGGATAAAGCCTTCTTACCCCAAACATTTAATCTATCCTTAACTTGACTCAAGAAATCATGAAAATCTGCTACATTTAATCTTCTAAGAGATATCTCTATACCTAAGTACTTCCATTCCTTCACAACCTTGAACCCAAGTATATCATCCACCTTCCTTTTATGATGTCTTCTAACCCCTTTCCCAAACAAAATTTGGGACTAATTGATGTTCACTTTCTTCTCTGTCCATCTACAAAATGCTTTCAAAGTTCCCTTCATCAATCTGGCTGAAGAACATAAAGCTTTTGAAAATAAAAGCACATCATTCACAAACATGAGGTGTGTCACCTTAGGACCTCATGTAGAAATCTGGATACCCAGATCTTTTCCCTTTTGCTCAATATAGTTTGACAACAATTGCGAAGACATTATAAACAATATGGGGATAGTGGACATTGTTGGTCTAGTAATTAGGTTGTTAAGCCCAAGTTAATGTCCCAAAGGCTACCAAGAGGGGTGGTGAATTGGTAGTTTAAAAATTTTAAGTCCTCTTTTAAAATTATGTTGAACCGAAATAAAAATTGTTTCTTTTTAAATTTATATAGAAAAGTTTTTTCAACCACCAGAGTTTTTTAAGGACTAAGAAATTAAGAAAAAATGCGAAAACGTTTTAAAAACTAGTTGAAAGTAAAGTACACCAGATTATATGCGTTCGGTCTAAACCAGACCTACATCCACTCCCAGAGGCACCCTCTGAGTATTGAAAACTAATAACCAATAGTGACTCATCCTTTTGCACCCACAGCAAGGAGGAGAAGCCTTCTACAAAACACACTCTTTTCACCACTCCGGTGTGGCAGAGAACCCGTTGTCCTTTTACACAATCTCCAATGTTAGCAGAGAATCGCGTCCTTTTCACACGTATGCCTAGTGTGTGCATAGAACCCTTCGACTATTCACACTCTCCAGGTAGGCAGCGAATCTTCCGCTATTCACATCTCTAAGTATAGGCAGGCGAACCCTTCGGGCTATTCACACTCTCCAAGTGCTACGGCAGTGAACCCTTCGGCTATTCACACTCTCCACAGTTGTCGGCAGCGAACCGATCTCCTGTGAAAGATTCTTCCACAAGAAATTCTAGAAGGAAGAAAGAAAGAGTGAAGTAATCCCAAATTCACAGAGTAGAGATTCTTACCTTTAAAACTCAAGTGAAGCCTTCACGCTTCTAGTGGTATGAATCCTCCCTTGAATGTACTCTACACTCTCTCATTAGCTATTCTCTTCAAGAGGCACGAGATTCAATGACAAAAAGATTTGATGGCAGTGTAATTTGACTAATTTATACAGAAGATCAGAAAAGACCCCCAAAAACTGCAAAGTTTCAAATTCTGTACCATTGGACTCGATCTCCAGTCAAGGCACAGCACGATCGATCCGTGGGAAATTTTTATCCCTCTTAGTAAACCAATATTATTCGAAAAAAACAGCCTTCCGTCTGATTGTGTATATGCGTGCTAGAGCGAAGCAAGTCTTTGGCGTACACACGGCTGGCATTGCCTACCCGTAACGATGCATCTCTCAGAGCTCTTGTCCGATCGCAAAGCAAACCACGTCGAAGAAGACCGTATATGCGAACTGCAAGCGTCGTGATCTACAAAGGTGCAAATCGCGTTTAACTGCCGACTACAGCTGGGCGGCCCAACCCGATGAACATGCTCTCTAAGTCCGCGTTAATCACTCTCTAGCACACAATTTATTCGTCTGAACGAATTTTTCGAGAGAAGGGCCACTCAGTCCAAACTGTGGGACCAATATTTTGAATGGTAAATGCTGGACCGAAAAATCTTCAGGAACGAACAAAATCAGATCCAGGGACCGTGTACGATAATTAATTTTGTTGACTATGGAGACGGGACGGAAGGATTATTAATAGCAAGAGAGTGTACAAGATCGCAGTGCTAAAAGGAAAGAGTGTAGTGATAATTAATTTCATATGGACAAAAATTTTACAGAGGACCAATCGTCATGTACGATAATTAATTTCATCTGGATGAATATTTTACAGAGACCAGATCATCCTGGACGATAATTAATTTCATCCTGGACGAATAGGACTTAGAAAAATTTCACAAGCCAGTTCTTATTCGTTCCATGTGCTCAATAGGAGATAACTTTCTGATCGTCCCGTACGAACTGATATCGTCCCGTACGATCAGTATAAATTATATATGATCTCCTAATGTGTGTGTATGTTTTTTATTCACTCAAATACAATCACTCCCTTTCAATTTAATTTCAAAGAAATGCAAACTTCAAATTTTACAAAGTATCTCATTCTGAATTTGATTTGAAGTCTTCGTAGTCTGAAGTTCTTTTTTCCTGAAATGTTAGTACACACAAGAGCAAATAATGTTTGGAATCATCAAAACTACATAAGTTGCAAAAATGTAAAGCATTCAAATAGGAACTATCTTAACAGACATCCCTACCGAAAACCACTACAAGCACTGATCCAATTCACATCTTCCCATTTAAGAGAATAGAGAATCTCACATCCACCACACATTCCATAAGAAATCCTGAGAAAACTGAAGGGAAACCAAACCAATTGAGAACATGAAGTAAGGTTGGCCACCCCATACTATCATAAGCCTGCTCCATATCAAGCTTCACCTCCATAAATCCTTTTTTGTTCTTAGAAATTTTAAACTTATTAAAGATCTCATGGGCTAGAATACAATGCTCAGACATAGATCTACCTGGAATGAAAGCCACTTGCTGTTCAGAAATCATCTTAGGCATAAGCTTCTTCAACATATTAACTAGCATGGTGGCAACAATCGTAAGTTGTTTGACACAAGCTGATGGGCCAAAAATTAGAAGGAACATTTGGATTCTTCACTTTGGCTATAAGGACAATCAAGGTATCCTTCCACTCCGTATGCATACTACCAGTAGTAAAATACTTCCTTATGGCCTTCCATGTATTGTCACCAACTAGCTTCCAATAACATTTGAAAAAAGAGAAGGTAACTCCAAAATAAATTCTGCTTCCAAAAATTTCAAATCCATAATAGAGCTCAATTTCTGCTCTGCAGCAATCCTTGGCCAACACGTCAGCTGGCATTCACGACTCCTCCATTTCTTCTCAAAAAACTGGATAAAAACCTATTCAATTAGATTCACATCTTCCACCATTTGGTTATTCTCATCTTTAATTTGCTTAATTAACTTTGCATTCCTTCTAGCCGATGCAAAGTTATGAAAAAAATTGAATTTGTATCCCCCTCCTCTTGCCATCTAGCCTTGGCCCTTTGATTCCACCAAGTAGGCAATCTTCTAAGAGTAACATTGAGCTCATGCACTTTACTCCTAAGCAATACCAAATCTTCAACATAAAAGATAACCACCGAAGCCTCTTTGATTTGCAACACTAGAATTTCGTGCTTCAACTCTTCTTTCAAAATACATAAATCCTTACACTTATTTTTGCTCCAAAAGAAAAGAGAACGCAACGTCCTTCTAAACTTTAATTTAAGGACCTCCACTTCGTCCCCGAAATCCTTTTTCCTCCAAGAATTATAAACATTGTTCCAAGCTGTCGGGTAAGATATCCAAGTATCTTCAAACTGGATGAACCTTCTTTTGTTGAGCTCTCCATTTTCCAACTTAAACATAATTGAACAATGGTCCGACGCCACCCGAACAAGATGACGCACCTTTCCAAAAGGAACTAACTTTAGAGATGCCAAATTTATCAAGAACCTATCCATTCATTCCAAAATCCTTGAAGCTCCCTCCTCATTGTTGCACCAAGTAAAATTTGGTCCAACAAAACCTACATCATGCAAATCAGAATTAGTCATAAAATCCCTCATCTCCCTAGATCCTCTAGACAAGAGGAACCTCTTTCCACCCTTCTTTTCAACCCTACTCAATATACAATTAAAGTCTCCTCCCACTAAGGAAGGACCCTTCCCAGACATGGAGCTCTCTAACAGCCTCCAAAGATCTTTACCTATCTAGACTTGCTATTTTTGGTTTTTTATAATATATTGGAAGTTGGAGCTCTTTAGATTATCTTTTTTCTTTTAAAAAAACTTCAAATTTATATTGTAAATAATTTAGAATCATTCTTAATTTTAATTACCATAGAAAGCATATGAATCTTTTGAAAGGGCCAGAACACATTTAAAAGAACATTTGGGTTGGTTGGAAAACACTACAAAAAAATTTCTTTCTGGTTGAATTTATAACAGACTAGAACTCAACAGAAATAGCAATGGGACTACCGACAGATTTAATTATGGAAAATTCATTGTGTTTTTCATTATATTTTTCAATATATCAAGACCCACTCTGCGTCTACCATATTATGTTAGTAGTATTGAAGCTCAAGATTTAGCTTGGAGAGGATGTTGAATGAAATGTTGCAGGATTTGGCTTTTTTTGGTTATGCTCAAGCAAGGAGGGAAGGCATACTGTTCTGAAGACTGGATAAGCCTGACTTTTCTAATCAAATTTTCTACCTCTCAAATGACTATTTTATCTCTTCTTAACAAAATTTATCTCATGATTTGGTCTTCCATGGGTGGGAAAAATATAAATTATTAAATAAATATTGGTGATAATTATAAAAGTTTGTATATTATCTTATAATAGTAATGGATTCTAGTAACTTCTTTTATAAGGTTGCATGCATAATATATTGATTTTTTGCAAATTCCAAAAACGATTGGAGAATAATGTCATCATATGATAAGTTCTATCATGAAGATGAATAAAATGACAATTGTCATGTTGTACATTACAATTTCTATACAAGCCAATCATTATGTCCTTGCTATAACCACCTAGCATGTAAGGATTCTAAAACTCAAAGCCTAATTAACTCATGGTCAGTCCATCTGAGGCTTATATAGAAAAAAAAAAGCCAAATGGAAAATAAATTCTTTATTAAATTGGTAGATTTATATAATTTTTTGTTTTATAATATATGGTAAAATTAGTTACAAGTTCTATAATGCTTTCTTTGCTTCGTATATAAACTAGAGATATATAGATTAAGTGCTATTAATTTACAACATGTGAAGCTTAAATGATTTTTTTTCCAAATTCCATGGAGCACAATTTTTTATTAATGTTGTTGGCTAGCATTAGCAATTATATGTGTATAGATTGGTTATATATATATATATATGTGTGTGTGTGTGTGTGTGTGTGTGTGTGTGTGTGTCAATTAATCTTCAAAAAATATCATTTGATAATAAATTTGGCCTTCATTAAATTTACAAATGATATGCTCATTTTGTGTTTGGCTAATTCTTAAATCCTCGTCTTCTAAAATTTTTAATCATATTGTAACATTACACTTGAAAAATGTCTTGCATATCAAAACAATCATTAGTTGTGATGATATTGTGTAAGTTTCTTAGAAACATACAAAAAAAATTATAGAACTTGTAAATTTTTAATGTATATTTAAGAATATGTTATGAGTTACTCGATAGTTGGCTTGTTTTCAATAAAGTCATGTAAATCTTTATTAGGCTTTTAGATTATGATTTCATTGTGATTAATTTATTAAATTGCATTATTTATGATTCTAATGAATTTTTTATTCTTTTATTTTACATATTTTTTTGATCTAATATTCATTTTTTCTTTAGCTAATAGCTGTATGGAATCAACTCGTTGTTGTGAAGTCTAGCTGTTTGTTTGCTATTGTTGCATATAAATTTGATAATTTTTTTAGCTAACATAAAAATATGTTGTCATTTTGATAATGATTTTCCATTTACAAAAGAGGAGCTAATGAGAGGATGGGCATGTATGTTATAATCTGAATTGAAAAATGGATCTTATTTATATTTTAGTTTATTTAAAAATTAATAATAATAGATTACTTTTATGTTGAAATGCTCAATTCTTTTGTATTAATCATTTGTTATAGAGTAATGTGTAATTTGGTGAAAATGATTTGATTATTGATATATCATTTCTTAATTGTGATTAATCATTATTACTTGCCAATTGTGGAAATACTAAAAGTCTTTTGACTCATTCCTCTATTAATTGTAATTGCACATACTTATAAAGTAGTAGAGGGAAGAAATCTTATTATTATTTATTTTCAATAGGGCCTCTATTAAGAGTAATTTTTTATAACATTGTGCCACGTTCTGTTGGCTGATTTCTTTTATAATAATTTTTCAAGGCTAGCTTGGATGTTTTCTTCCAAGATTGATTCAAGTAAAATACCAATTCTTTGAATTATAGTAATTGAAATTTAATTATCCCTGGCCCTCATCACTTTGTTTTGTAATGCATTATATTATGTCTATCCTTTTGATTATTATAATTTTGACATAGCTATTCTTTTAATGAAATTTCAGTACCATATAGGTTTTAAACTTTTTCAGCTAAATAATAGTGCACAATCGGCTTGTTCTCTATAATATGTTCTTTTGTCACTTGCATAAAGGAATAGCTCATTTCCTGATTTATGATCTTTCGATTTAAAATAGTAACAAGATCATTTTTTATCCACTTTTCTTTTCGATGTTAAGAAAATTTATGAAATTTGTAAATATATATTCTCTTTTTTAAATTATTTTGCACTTATTTATTTTGATCAAATTTTAAAAATTAAATTATGTTTTACTAATATAATTAATAATCAGAACTTCTTATAGGGATAAAATTAGTAATTTTACTTTTTATCAAAGAGAATATAATTTAACTTTTCATAATGTGAATTATTATATTTAGTTTTTTTTATTTACATCCATTTAATCTACGTTAAATAAAACTAATTATCTCAAATCTTCACTACAATTTGTTTATTTAAATTTTTTTTTTGAAATATTTTCATATTACAATATTGCATCAGATTTCTATCTATGAGACGAGTCTCTTTTTGTAAATTACACTAAGTGCCTTAATAATTTCTATTTACAATTAGCTTTTCCCACATAAGCAAACATAGGGCCAAATACAATGGCCAAAACCTTTACAAATTTTAGATTGAAAAAAATGAAATTAATTTATAACTTCAAATCAAACTTAAACTTGAAAAAAAATTAGCGATTTGGTAATATAAGAACAAGCCAAATAAATAGACATTTGTTTCCTTCTTTATAGGCCAAAACCTCTTTTGATCTCTTCTCTAACAACCTAATCTTCCCTTAAAATAATGACTTATCTTCTAAATTAAATACTCAATAACCCCATTATACGCAATAATTCACTGCCTATAAAACCATACATGTACTTGATCTACTCTAAGTTATCCTAAGGAAAGCTTAAAAGTTTTATTCCCATGAGGATTTCCTTACTCTCATATTATATTGTTCTCAATATGTTTTTCTTTTTTCTTATAATAGAGAAAAATTTGGTAGCATCAGCGCGAGAGCATGCCGAAGAACACCATGTCATTGACATCAAGTCATTGTTGCCGAGTAGCTCATGTTCTATTCTTAATAAAAGTTTGTGAGCAATTTCTATTATTTCTTAATACCCTATTGTATATTATTTTTTTATAAAATAATTAGAATAATAATAAATCATGCTGCAATTAGGCTTTTCTGATAGATATCACAAGTATAAGCTCATTTGAAAGATATAACAAGCTCAAAAGTGAAGAAAAAGAAAAAAAAACTCAATAATTGCATTAATTAGTTGTTCAAATTGTAACAGGCACGAGCCCTTCCAAGCTAAATGTGGTCCTCCAGCATGGTCCATGCTCCTCTTCAACACGCCAGTACAAGCCATCACATGTGGATCTCTTCCGTCAGGACCAAGCCCGTGTTGAATACATCCATCACCAGGCTGCCAACACCACCGCCCGCCTCAACATTATTGGCCACTCTCTTTTTGTAGGAGTTCCGACATTTGCTGGTTATTCAGTTGGTCTCTTCACCTATATCATCAATATAGGCCTTGGCACCCCTACCAAGTACTTTACAGTTATGTTTGACACTGGTAGCGATCTAACTTGGACTCAATGTGTCCCTTGCATTAATTGTCATAACCAAAATAATCCATTTTATGACCCAACCCAATCCTCCACCTTCACAACCATCGAATGCATCTCCAACTATTGTACCCAACTCCCTAAATTTGATTGCTCTTCTACCTTCACCTGTCTCTACGAAATAGGATATGCTGACCATTGTATGTCTAAAGGATCACTCATTAAAGACACCTTAAAATTTTCCAATGCTAATATACAAAATTTTAACTTTGGCTGTGGAGATAATAACACTGGATATTTTGGACATGTAGATGGGTACTTAGGCCTTGGCCGTGGATTTATTTCAATTATTTCCCAAACATCTAAATTTTTTAATAATATATTCTCATATTGTTTACCATCAGGGCCTGACAAAGTTGGATATCTAGAACTAGGTAGCCCAGCCCGTGGTGTGACGTACACACCGATGCTAACAAACCCAATATTGCCATCCTTCTACTTCGTTAATCTCATTGCCATTTTTATTGGGGGTGAACGGCTTGACATTTCACCTACTATATTCAATAGCCCTGGAACTATTTTGGACTCTGGCACACCATTTAGTCGCTTGCCACCCACTACCTACTTCGCCCTACGTAGCATTTTTCGAAAAAAAATGTCTAATTACCTTATGGCACCTCCATTATTTAATCTTGACACATGCTATGACCTTACTAACATCGAGCAGGTGGTGGTGCCAAATATTTCTTTTGTCTATGAAGGTGAAGTGACGACTAACTTGGATATCTCAGGGATCCTTTTTCAAGCCAGTGATTATCAATGGTGCTTATCAATCGTTGGAAGTAGGGATAACAGTGAGCTTATTATTATTGGTAGTATGCAGCAACGCAGGTTTAATGTAGTCTTTGATGTGGGGAACTCACAAATTGGCTTTGGGATAAATGGTTGCAGCTAGTAATGGATCAATTGAGTTTATTAAGTTAAATGTAATGTATTTATATAGACAGAATGAATATATTTCATCATATTGGTCATAAAATTGGGGTGTGCGGGGAAATAAATTTGGTGATAAAAAGGTTCAATTGTATCAAATTTTATGAAATATTTAAATATCAAATAAAGGAAACTTTATATGAGTTTATAAAAACAAATAAAATTTGCTTAATTTATTTATAACTAAGGGAGAATGATGACATTATTTGTTGGAGGATAGATATTTGATTATCAAAGGTAAAATGTCATCTTTCTTCATAAAAAATAATGATGATTGCATATTGTGATGATTTTTTGTTCATTGTAAGACCTTTACAAAGTAAAATCATCAAATATTTTTTTTGTTCAACTCGATCTTTTTTATTCTCATTTTGGCCTCAATTTATTATTGGCTCTGTCTGGTAAATGGAAGCATGTATGTCTTGGGAGATTAGGCAACCAATTGAGCCATAGAACTTAGCACCTTAAAGCTTTGATGTAACCAATCCAATATTCCTCAAACATGGCAACATTTGGCTCTCACATACTAATCACTTACATAACCTTAGAACATATGGCTTCTAGTTGATAGAAAAATCTCCCAGCCAATAGATTAATGTGTGCCACATAATGATCAATTATGTTATTTACATTTTTATAATTTTAAAGAATTGTTTTTCTAAATATTATGCTCCCATCAAAAAAAAATCTTACTCCACTATCTGTATGCATCATGTATGTGAATGTTCATCCATATTTATTATTCAATTCTCAAGCATATGTTCATCCATAAAAGAAAATGTTCTAATCTCCAGCTTAGGCTTTAGTAAGTGGGGCCTTAGTCGTCGACATTAAAGCCCTTTATGAATCGTCTTAAAGAAATTTTGCATTTTATTTGATCAGTGATTTTATTTGATATGTTCCAAAAACATTAATTTCTATAGTAAAAAAAATTGCGAATTAAGGGGGCATGAGTGAACTAATGCACTCACTTGAAATAATATTTATGTTTTAATATATCATATAATTTCAATTATATAAATATAATTTTCTATAAAAAAAAACTTAATTTTCAACCCTTTAAATTTTTAGATTCCAAAATTATAAATAGCTATTGAAGAAATATTGATAAAATTTTTAAACTAATTAATTTATGTGTCCAATTAAAAAAAATTATGATTCTGCCATTATCAAAGAGAAACTTTATATCTCCAACAAGCTTAATATGATATTGATTCAGAGCGACGTTATGATACCATGGCACTGATTTTGTTCTTTGAAGGATGTTTGCTCATCATATACTATTAAAACTAGGAACCTGTCATTAATATCTTCTTTAAGTACATGGAGGTTGAAATGGACAAACATTGAAGTGTGTTGCTTGTAGGATGGGAGAAGATGCTAGTGCTTGGTGAGCACAATTGTTGAGAATGAGACAAGGAGAAGGGAGATGATGGATTTGTTGTTGGTATGAGATGAAATAGCTTTTGAGGGCTCATTTCCCTCCCACTATTTTGAAGCAAATACTTCACCTTAAGTTTTAACAATATGTGCAAGGAACTTGTTCTGTAAGTAAATATAAAGAAGATTTCTGTAGGTTGAGTGGATGGAACAATCTAAATGAGTCCCAAATTAAAATCAATGTATGATATATTCGGGGCTTAAATGTCATCTCATATAAAAATTAGAGTTAGGCTTGATATGGTCATTATCTCAAGTTTTTAATTTCACATTGTAAGCAAAAATTCAATTCAAATGACATTAAAAATTGCACTAAACTATTCACCAATTCAGTGAACTAGCTATGAAAGCTAATAAATCTAATAACAACTTACTAAAACTCCTGTAACTCAATGAAAACCAAATAACCCAACCATCTCGGCTACAATTAATGAGGATAATACACCAAAAAAAACATAGAACACAAACCTATTATTTAATACGTTATTTGATACTTTAAGACATTTAAAATATCTTTATTTTAATTTTGTGTGCTTTCATTTTAGGCTTTAAAGGTATATATTTCCCAATGCTAACCCTCAATTTTATTTTATTTCATATCGATGTAATCATGTAATACAAGCCTTATGTATAGTATTTATATTTGATCATCATGGAGCTAATACTTTTTATTTTATGTTAAATATCACTTGACCTCTAAAATTTTTAATAAGCTATCATGATATGTTTTGTATATCTAATATTCTTTTAGAGAGATTAGAAAGATGTTCGGAAATTCCTTCTATGTTGTTAAGTAAAATTTTTATGATTAGATGGAGAAAAATATTTGGTCTATTTATATTTAGGTCTTCATTAATCATGTGTGATATGGATATTAGAAATTAGAGAAATAAAATATTTGAAAATTACAAGTTGACATGCATATGCAGCAAGTTTAATATTGAAGGAGTTGTAAAAAATGGGGGGCAATTTAGTGGAAAGCAACCAACAATGACAATGGAGAATAACGATCAAGGTTCTAATTAAACTACATGTGTTTGTAAATTTTATGATAAGTTTTCCTGTATAAGAAATGAACATTTATAGTACAAGTATTTAAACATTTGCTTTTATATTAATGTGTAATTACTTTAGCATTAATATTCTTGGCAATGTTGAAATGTTAGTGTAGAAATATTGAAATGAACTATTTTGAATAACTATGATTGTATAAATTTTATTTTACAATAATTTAGGCAAGGTGGTTTTTTTTGTTGTATTGAAGGTTTTCAATGGATTTTAGGATGAAAAACTATAAAAAATGATGATATGATGAGCTTGGTGTTCTATTTTTGACAATCATTATCCTCTAAGATTACTGGCAAAATTTGCAAAGTAGTTTTTGCCAGAATTTTTGTCGACAGGTGCCATCAAAATTTATGGTAGTTAGTCATCAGACATTTGAATAGATATTACTAGTGAAATTATGATAAATAGCTCTATTGCCATTTTGAAATAAAAAAACTTATAAAATTTACCAAAAGAATATTTTTAGGTAATGTGATTCAAAATACAACATTTTCCTTCCATGGTTATGTCAAAAATCTGCTTGTACATGATTAAAATTTTTTCTAGCACATAATTTCCACAGTAGACCACCTTTTGACGTGCATTTCACTAGCAAAAATAAATATAACGAAAAGCAATTATTTTTGGTGGATTTAAGCATTTTTGGGGGGTAAATGGAGAAATAAGCATTTCCAGTAGTAAAAGATATATGTTATCAATGAATCTAAATACAAATTGCAATATACGAGGCTATCTTTATGTACTTTTTGTAATTTTGATGGATCGACTACAAAAGCCATAACCAAAGTCAAGAGACAACTTGACATCTCTAATGTATAAAATAGAAGCAACCAAGGGAATGAGACCCCCCTCCTCGCTTACCTCAGTATTGTCAGGATCAACATTAAGAACTAGAATGATGAGAGGTTAATCTACATAATATCATTTTTTATCATTTTGATGGAATTTCATTTAAATAAATTTTTACCCTATTGAATAAATTGAACACATGATTCTTCATAGATATTTGAGCTTGTACTTCCATGACCAGTTTAATTATATCCATGCTAAAGATGAAAGGATTCATAAGGGATTGAAATGAAGTCAATAGTGTTGTGAAAACTATTATGAGATAATAACTATTGTTTATCATTTCTCGAGTTTTATAATAAACATCAAAAGATACTCAAATTATATTTATTAACTCATAATTTAAAGTAATATACTACACATATTAAGATTCTCTCATCATCTTAGATCGAATAGTGGTTCCTCCCAATTATAATATAAATATTCTAATGTAAAAAAATAAATGTGGACATAATAATCCTCCTTTTCTATCTTTGTATGTCTTGAGAACACCAGTGTTGAGCTTTATTCTCATATGTATTATATATATGTATATAATAATTTTGAAGGTCAATTTACTTTAGCACTCGCCATGATCACCTTATTTGTCACCTTATAGGAACCATTTCTGCAATCAATGCCTACTTAAAGTTAGTAGATGTCAGGCAATCTATTATAATGCAATTTTCAATCATCTAGTGATCTATATATTTAATAAAATTCAATCAATTTTATAATAAAATTTTAAGCTCTCTCCATTATGAGGTATATGAGAAATCATAGGAAATAAATAATTTCCTCGCTCCTATTACCTCTAGTAGCTCTGATGAGCTAATCATAAGACTTTCAATGGCTAAATAATGAGTAATCCTTCATTAGCATACTCTACAAGGTCAAAAAAATTCATTCGAATATTTTAAAAGAGTTATTTATCTTTCATGGCTCTTTGACCAATCAACCTCCTTTCATTCGAACACCATAAATTGAAACAACTAACCAACATCAATTAATTATATCAAATGATAACATATTGAAAACATCACACCAATAATTCATCTTTGTGCCTATATTATGTAAGTCATGAATGCATTTAAATCCATAGGATTTCTTCACCCATTACATGGATTGTAAATCACTACACTCTATAATGTGTCTCTCACAATAGTCTTTTTAATTTCCATCCACTCTACTAAGATATATGTTACCACCTTTAGGAATAAAGTAATCATGTTAATCTTCTAAGAATTTATAGAAAAATTCATATTTTATTGAGTTATGATATTAAAAAAAAAATAAAAAAGTTATCTTTTTATATTATATTAGAAGTTTGTTTTGGCAAAGAAAAAAAGATTTTCATGTTATCATTTATGGACCACACACACGCACACATTTTTGTACTAAACATCTTGAACCTAGCCATTGCACTCTATTCTCTTCTTAGGTTTTTTGGGTGATCTCGAGGCGATTCTAGAGTTCATGCCTTCTCGCATCCCTGATCCTACTCCTGTCCAGTTTCTTTCATTTTTCTCGTGTTTTACCTTCTCTTGGTTTTATCCATGGTTTTTTGTGGCATAGTTTTGAGGTTTTTTGTTGTTTTTTTATTTTGGCAAGGGAGGCGGGAAGGGG